GGCACGGGAGCTTCTGTATGTAACCTGGCAGCTCTAGGACGGCAGATACAGGTTCCCTGGGTCTCACTGCCCAGGCAGTCCAGCTGAATCAGTGAGCTCCAGATTCAAAAAGTAAGGTGAACAATGATTGAGGAAGCCACCTAACCCTGACCTCTGGCCTCCAGATGAGCGCACACATGCCCACACACACACACACACACACACACACACACACACACACACACACACACTATCCTGAATTTCAGTCAATAAAATAACATTGCAAGTAGATTGCAGTAAAAGCTACCACGACAACGGTGCTGTTTATTTTTGATGAACCTCTTTGGCACACTGTACTGACCATGGTGGTGAGGAGCTCTTGGTGAAAACCTACTTGTGTGCTCATCCTTAGGTCAGTGCTGTGAGGGCATTAGGAAGCAGAGAAGCTGGCCAACCTTGGCCTACTCATGATTCTGTGGCTCACTGCTGTGTCAGCTAGAGTAAGTCACTTCCTCATCTGAATAATGTGGATAGTAACAGTACTCACCTCCAACTGCTGATGAGAGAAGTCCGTGTGCTCAAATGCAAGGGAGTTTGAACTCAGTGCCCAGTTAGCAGACAATGGTGACTATGACTCCTTCGTTTACCACCACATGTAGCCTCATGGTGGAGCAACTTGCCTCAAGGAAACAGACTGCTGGGAAAGTCATGAGAAGAAAAAAAAATCCCTTCAAATAGTTCACATGCAATTGTCTTTTTTGTTTAGAAGTATTGATCTCAGCCTGATGCAAGGGATACATTTAAACCTATCGTAGAACTTTCCTGGTAAATGCAAGGCTTTCTGATAGAAAATTTCTCCCTTTTATTTGTTCATTCTATGAACATGCAATGTAACTCTCACTGCAAAGTGCTGGGCTAGATATCACAGACCGTGAAAACAAAATCACCATGTCTGCTTATAATCCTTTACAGTTTGATAAAAGAAATAATATAATTATTTAAATAAATATAAAATATGTAGAAGGTGTAAACTGGATAAAAAGAAAAAAAAGAAGCCCAGACAGTAATAAGTGAGATTAGCCTGAGGATGAAGGATCAACTAAATGGACTACTAGGAAGTAGGACTCAATAGGTCAAAGGTCAAGTACTCAGGATAATAGAGGCCAGGGCTGCACAGTACTAGTGTGTAGAGGGCTGAACTAGCAGGCTGGCATCAGACTGGGAGGCCCCTGAATATCTGCTGATGTGAACAAAGCTTCAAATTGCACTGGATTCCCTGTTTTTACTGACTTTTTCCCTATAGCAACAGTAACTTCTAGTAAGCTTTACTGAAACTAAAAGTATTTGAAAAAAAAAAAAACAAAAAACTCTGACTTGCCCCTACCAGACGTGCCTCCCCATGGGAGGCCTTGCTTTCTTGTAGGGGGAAGTGGGGGATGGGTTGGGAGGGGGAGGCTGGGGGGGCGGGAGGAAGGAAGAGGGGGATCTCTGATTGATGTGTAAAATGAATGAAAAAAATTTCTTAATAAAAAAAAAGGAACAAACATCTAAACAACAACAACAACAAAAAGATTTTTGGAGAGATGGCTGAGAGGTTAAGAACATTTAACAGCTTCCAGAGGATGTGGGTTCATTTCTCAGCACCCACATCTGATGGCTCACAACTGAGATTCCACCTATGGGATATCTGATGCCCTCTTCTGGCCTCAGCAGGCATTTCACTCATACAGTGTGTATATGTATGCTCAGGCACATGGACATACCTGTACAACTAAAATGAACAAATAGTTTTTTAAAAACATATATCCCATCATGCTTTCTATGGTACCATTATAATTAAGATAAAAATAAGATCTATTTTTTTCATGACATGCCTTGGTTCCTTTAGTTCTTCGGAGGGGGTCAACTAAGGTTAATTGGAAATATGAGCTTGTCTTAAACCTTCAGGGGAAGAGCTATCTGAATTTTGCAACCTCAACCTAGAGATACTCTCATGTGAAAACATAGATTACTGTAAAAAGAGAGGCCAATTAGTAAGGATCTAACAGAAAAAGGCCTTGACATGTGCAAACAGCTACTTCAGGAATGATGAGGAATGAGCTCAATGGCTGGGCGTATCTGTTTGAATTGTCAGCCTCTCCCTAACTTTTTCATTAAACACCCAACTAACCTTCAACTGCCCTCTTAGAATTTAATCTCAGTGCAATTTGCAGCATTCCAAAGTCACCAAGCAAAAACTAAGCACTGCACTAAAAGGGGTCTTTTGTCAATACCAGGACACCCAACGCCTACTTACAAAGCTCCAAATGCCCTTAAGTGACAGGTAGGATTTTTAAGTCATTGACTCTAATAGATTGTGTCAATGACAACAAATTTTTAGCAGACTCATACATATCTACATTGGAGGAAGAAGAAAGTGTCCTAGAACTTGGGGTGTCAGTACCAACAGAGTGTGCATGACAGAAGAAGTCCTAATATCCCATGCAAATGTAACTTTGGAACATCTACAAGGCTTGGTTCTACTAAACCCATTTCAGCAATACAGTTAACGTTTATGTTTTGTTGGAACCCCCAGCACACTCCCCAGCATGTAATTCATTACACAAGCTCTCTTTTTATCAGTTCATGTATCTCCTTCCTCAACGTGTTGTCCATAGAAATGTCACATAAAGATCCTTGGGTTTTGGCCCACATCTAATTAGTGGGGCTGTCTGGAGACAAGGTTACAAACCAAAGTTCTTTAGTGTCCAATCATCATGTACTTTTCTTCCTGTTAAAGTTTATTAATTTTCTCCTCCTTCATTTGGGTTTGCCTGTTTGGGGGGGATGAAGACTTCCCTCCCATGTGTTGAGCAAAAGTAAAGACTGAATGGCAGAGATTATTGCAACAATGCAACTTTGTGGGTGTGTGTGGGGGATCTTGCCAGATAGTTTCTTTCTGGCAATGTAAAATTCAAACTACCAAATTTAAGCTTCTCTTACTTAAGTACAGATGAGGACATATTTTGGGTGCTGTTCTGGCTAGCTAGCTTTTATGTCACTTTGACACAAGCTAGAGTCATCTGAGAAAATGTTTCCAAAAGACTGTGCTGTAGGCAAGCCTGTAGAGCATTTCTTATTTAGTGATTGATGTGGGAGGGTCCAGCCCATTGCGGGTGGTGCCACCGCTGCTGGTGGATTCTCTAAGAAAGCAGGCCGAGTAAGCGATAGAGAGCAAGCCAGCAAGCAGCACTCCTCCGTGGCCTCTGCACCTGCCCTGACTCCAGGTTGCTGCCCTGTTTGAGTGCCTGTCCTGACTTCCCTCAGTGATCGATTGTTACCTGGAAGTAGAAGGGAAATAAACACTCCCCACTTTACCTTGCTTTTTGTCATGGTGTTTCATCACAGCATTGGACACTTAGCTATGATAGATGCTAATGATTTATTCTTTGAATACTGCCTTTGCTCTGGTGTTTAAATTTACTACAAGTATTATACTGCATTGCATCCCTATCAATCAACTATGTGTTTTCAGACTGGTTACTATGTGCTTTAGGAAAGAAACCGAAGTGTAGGACACGGCATATTTAAGAAGAAAGCTCTACAACTGAGTAAAAATCGACCACGGCCCCTACACATGGGAGCATTAAGTCTCAGGCTTAAGTCTCAGCGTGTCCTCCTCTGCATGGAACCATGGAACTTAACAATGCCTCAGAGTCAGTTTTCTCTTCTAGGGAGACGGGAATCAAATTATTCTTATTTCATGGAGTAATTGTGAGGGTTGCAGTAAGTGATGAAAACCCTGGCTCCTAATGAAGCATCTATGAATTACAAATAGTGGTAAAGAAGCCATAACTCCATCCGCCATTCCTGAAACATCTTCCCTTCAATTTTATGCCTTGTTCTTTTAAAAATAAGAGCTGTATCTCCTGCTCTTGACTTTAGGATTTAGGATCTTGCTTTTCTTCAGTTGCTGCATCTGGTTCCTCTGCAGCTGGAGCTAAAGTGGGGACATTCAGATGACACTGTCACCACCAAGTGGATGTTAGAGAGATCTGGAAGTCAAGCCCATCTGGGATAGACCACAGCATCATGATGTAGCAGGCTTGGAACTGCATATGTATCTGTCAAAAAAATGCCACTCTTCTTCTTCCTTAGTAGTATAAAATGAGGACCACCACTTCTCCTTGATGTTTCAACATTATCTTACTATCTTCCTTTCTGGTTAGCCTTAGAGTCCACAGTGAATTTAAAAATCTGTTTCTCCATAATCCCCAGAACTTCCTACACTTCACAACCAAAAATCTACAGAGCAAGTCACTACCTACTAAACACACCACAAATGAATGGCAATATGCTTTTATATTCTTATTATGTGCTTCTGTGTGAAAAAGTCTGTATGATATTTCTCTTAAACATGAATTATTTTACTTGTGAATCTTTTACAGAATTAATCTGAAATGTACAACCCCCAGATTTACTACAAACTGAGAAGCTATTTTGTTTTTAATTTCTGAAATTCTGCATAAATAAAAACTCTTACTATAGTTTGAAGGGACAGAAGGGGTGGTACCAGGGTGGGATCATTCAGCATGCCTGTATGTATATTTCAGGATCTCCACCCCCCCTCCTTTTAAATGTAGAAGCTGTACGTTTTAGGGACATTCTGAATTTCTTTCCCCTCCCCCTTCCCTAAAGCATTTTGCAGTGAGATTCTTTCATGTATAACAAATAATTGGTAATAATACAAGAATATGTAATGTTAATTTCAAAGCTACAGTACAGTGCTGGTACAAAGCACCGAAAGACTTGGACAAAAGGCCTTCTCTTTAAGTGTCATTCACATTCACCTGGTGAGTAAGAGTTATGTCCATTTACATAATTTTTTAGAGGAATAAATTACTGAATTACTGAAAAAAATCACTAACTTAAATAATCATATTGCTTTTGTAAAAATTCTATGTCTTTAACATTTAATCTGGGATATAGTCTCATTATAAACTATCCTACTAACATACTGTTTTTCTTTTTTGCAATGACAGGTAGATGAAATATTTATAGATTCAGCCTTGAAGAAGCACCACGTCAAAAACCACATAGCCAGACTAACGTATGTATATGTGGGCAAGGGTGTAGTTGCTAGCCCCGAGGGAGAAAGAGCAAAGGGCACAGGGTCCCCCACATAATTTGTGTCTCTAGACCCTTTGCTGGGGCTCTTCAAAAACATTGTTGCTACAGTAGTCTCAAGATACAGGGCTAAACCCATTCTGAAAACTGAGACACTGAGGTGGGTGATGTACTGAATGTTCCCCAAGAGATGGTTACAGCTGATAGCACTGGCCCTCAAACCCTACCCGCTGACTGTGAGACCTGGAATCCACCTTAATCCACAGCCGTAGGTAAACCCAGGCCATGTCTTTGCATGCACCAAGTCCCGTACTTCTGGCAGATATGGCGCTTCAAAAACATCAAGAAGGCAACTTTTACTACAAAGTAGGATCAGAGGTTTTACCTGTAACAAAGGCCTAGTGACAGGCGACATGCCCAAACCGAAAGATGATTGTGTTGTAATAGATGCTCCCTTTTGTTTGGGTGGGGACGGAGGACTCATATCAGTTGCTGAAATTACTCAGTGGTTTAAACTTTGTTATTTTAAAAATCACACAGCAGGACGGGTACAAAGCCAGGAGTTTGTGTGACTCATCTCAAAGAGAAAAAAAGAAGATACTCAAACAAAACTGTAATGATGAAACCCACTACTTTGTGCAATAAACGTATACTGAAAGAGCTTGACAAAAGCAACTAAAATATTTAGCTGAATTTATTGGAAGGGGTGAATGCTAATCAGTTTTCTTACCAACAGGCCAACACATGACTGGCCACATTCTGAAGATCTTTACTTCTGACAACTCATGACTTCCACAGGGAGTTTTTAAAGATTTAGTTTTATTTTCTCTGTCTGTACATACGTTTATCACTCCTGTCCTGTGCTCTTGGAGACCAGAAGAGAAAAACGGGTGGTGGTGAGCCGCCATGTGGGTGCTGGAAACTGAACTCAGGTCTTCCGCAAGAGAAGCAAGTGCTCTTAACCACCGGGTCATCTCTCCAGCCCCTCCATGAGGTTATCATGACATGCTTGGGTAATTTAGGAGACAAAAAGCATATAAGTGCTGGAATGTTCTACGTTTTATACCCTCTGTCTTCACTTCTAATTTTCGCAGCATTTTAGTAACATCACCATAGTTTGAGAAGCTCCTTCGGGTTTGTTGCCAGTGTTGAATGTGTTATTTTTGTGGAAATCTACTCAGTAACCTGTTTCATTTCCTCTTATTTAAAATGGAAAAATATTTGGGTCCCCATTTGCCAATAATAACATAAAATTCTCATTACTTATACTTTTCTATACTAGAGCAAAAGTCGAATGTGAAACATACTGTGTCTCAGAATTTATACAGTTTTCTCATTTTCTTGTTAGCCAAAAGATTCAAGTAGACTAGATTCATGTTTTTGTTTGTTTGTTTGTTTTCTTGTTTTTTTTTTTTTTTAGAGCTTGTGGCTCTGTGGTATAAAAATAGGGGAAATGGAAGATCAGTAGGCATCATTTCCAACTCTTTAATAAACCACACAGGTATATTTTGCCATATATAAATACAAAGATGAGACAGTATTGAAAGAAATTTCTAGCTTTGTGTTTGAACATTTAAGTCAAATTAATTGCACATAAAATTATACACACTGAGAGTTTCAAACAAAACTTCAATTCTTACTCTCCTCCCCCGCTCCAAAAAAGAACATCTTTAATTGTTTGTTATCCCCATCGTAAGTGCATACGAAAATTCATTTGCACAGTTGTTGGGACTTAACTCTGTTTCTATGAAACAGTTCAAGGAAGTGGGTGTGATCAACTGGAAGAGACCCAGAGATCACATGCCACTGTCTTCAATTGTTTTATGTGGAAGGGGAAATGGATGTTTTAAATATCGAAACTGGGTGACTTTAAGCTTTGTATAATGCAAAAACTGAAGGAGACATTGAAGTTCTATATAAATAACTCTCAAAATAGAGCTGAACAAGGAACACTCTCTTTAGTAAAGCTAATTTTCCACAACTTAATCACTACCCCGAGGTTGGTGAGCCACTTCTCACTGATGCTGTAGAGGTGATTCAGATATCAGATACGTGATTCATTCCCCAAGAGTATATGAGGTTTATTTCAGCCCTCAGAGGTTTTCATGTTTTTATTTTATTTTTAAGAAGCTGTTATGAATACAGTGCATTTTGATCACATCAGTTTATCCTCCCCACCCTACAATTCCTTCTGTGTGCCCCCGACATTTCCCTTCCAAGTTCAAGTCTTCTTTTTCTATTGTTATTACATGTGTGTATGTGGATATAATACACACACACACACACACACACACACACACACACACACACACACACACATTCAATTATCATTCCCCATATGCACGTAAAAATAGGGTTGACCCCCAGCGTGGCACACAGGCAACCCATAAAGAAACTCATCCCTGAAAAAAAAATCTAACTCTTCCTCCCTTAGCAGCTGTTGCCTGCCTGTAGCTCCTCAACTGTAACTCAGTCTTATGAGCCCTTCCCCCACCGATACTGGAATTACGACTGGTACGGTCTTGTACAGGACTTACGCAGTCAGCCATTCCTGATGAGACAGAGTATACACCTGCCATGACCAGAAGACAGTGTTTTATACCTGACCCCCTGGGCCCTGGATCTTATGATCTTCCATCACCCCTTCCATGATACTCCCTGAGCTTTGGGGATTAGGGTTGTTTCCCATTTGGGAACAGGCACCTCAGATTTGGCCACTTATTCTCTACATTTTGACCAACTGTAGTTCTGAGGGATAAGAACTACACTGAGCACAAAAGCCTGAGAATACTAAAACCTTTTATTTTTCTGATGACTTTTTGATGTTTTGTGTCTGAGTCTTACCTCAGTACAGTAACTTGTCTTCAAGTTAATGGGAGCGGTGAGCAATCAAAACAAAATGTAAAAACAAAAAACAAAACAAAAAAAAACTAGAAGAGGGAACATGAGAAACACATTTAAGTCACAAAGTTGCATGTAAAGGAGTGGGAATGTGAGTGGATTACCTGGCCCTTGACATTCTCAGCAGCTGAAGCATAGGTCAGGAAGTCGAAGGAAAGACGGTAAGATGATGATACCAGGTGGAGCCTTTGAATGTAAACCTTACTCTTGTGTTTCCTAGTCCAGAAGAAGATGATGCCAAAGCAGACATTGTTATGGTGCTCCAGTCCTCCTCTACTGGGCAAAGGACCATGGGAGAAAAGAACCACAGCATCTTAAACCATAAGATAAGGAACCCGAGAGCCTTGCCAGCTGGTGTCTCATTAGTTCAAGTAAATGGTAAGTAGGTTGATTCCCACATGATACAAATGCTTTATATAGCCATAAACTCTCCTGTCATTCCCATTCCAAACAATACTAAGAAATCATATGGGAAAAATTCAACCTAATGGTGAGACCTTTCAAATTTTTATTATTCTCTGATGAAAGCATGTCTAATGTTAGTCATCAAGTAGTTTTCCTGGAAGTCATTGATTGGTGCTTGTCTCTCGGTAAAGATGTTTTTACCACAAGCAGGGTTAATCCAAGGCAGGAACTGCCTCCATGATTAAGCAAGTTAAAAGGTTAAGCAATAAGTGATTTCTGTTTGGGACCTTCTAAAAACACAAAATCATCTGTATCCTTTAAAAATATAGTTAGTTTCTGTATTTGATGATATTGTGAAGTTTTTATTATTTGTCTTCCTAGGAGCACTTAGAAAAAGGTAAACTGCTTTTAGAGTCACTGGAACCACTTGATAAATAATACCTTAAAAATCATCAGGAATAAGAAGTCACTGTAACCATTTATATATTGCTCTATTTTTCTCTTTTCTCTTCACTGTTAACTCATTACACCATCCTCACCTCTCTGAATTGAAGAGTCTTTCTTTTTCAAGGTCCAACTCTACACCTTATATGCAATATCTAATTTAATTTGTATGTACTAGTAAAGTAGGGGAAATTCTACTACATTGGTGTAAAAAAATTTAAGCAACATAATAATTAAAAGGAGCCAAGAGTTATATCTAGATGCCTAATTTATTTTGGGGCATTACAAGAAAGGGGTTCCATGCTTAAACAAAAGTTGAAACTCTATGATCTTTGTCTCCTGGAAGTTAATCCTTGTATTAGCATATTTGAGACTCTGAGGAGGCCAGGAGGCCAGGAATATGCTTACCCTTGCACACTATGTGCTAACACAATATCTACTTCCAGCAGACAGGTACAGATTTATCCCATAAACTCCATTGGAACCAGATTTAAGAGAGTAAGAACAAACGATTGGTATTAGAAACAAAACAGGGTGCCCTGCCCTTGCAAGGGTCAAGCTGACTCTTTAAGGGGAAACTTCATTAGGAAATGAGAACCCAAAACAATGGATCAACAGATGCTTGCTCATATGACATGAAGTCAGTTACTAAGACAATAAAGCTACAGGCCCCTCCCAGCTGGGAGGAAAGAACCTGCCAAATGTTCGATCCATTTTCCTTAGGTGTTGCAGTTGTGAAACAATGGCTATTCTGAGAAGCTACATGACAGGCAATATGCAATTCCAATAGTTAGTTAATATTTCAGGAACTCAAAAGCCTGCCTGCACCATCGGAAACAAGAGATGGAGCATAGAGTGGTCCCTGGCCACCAGGTCTTTCTGTTTCGTATGGGCTCAGCTTGTGCTTCATGTACTTTAATACTTGTACCATATTTAAGAAGAGGATGTTCTTGTGGAGAACAATATTTGAGGGTCACCTAATTCTAAAGTCTTTTTGTTACTGCAGTGCACAAGTAATTACCCATACCTGCGTGCGCATTTTTTTTAACCAGTAAAAGTGAAATGATAATGCTTCTTCTTCTTCTTGACAACACAAAACTATGAGAAAATATATAGGGAAATAGGAAACATAATATGGCACCTGGAAACTATTGCTTCAGACACGGTTGAAAATGACTGTCAGGAGAAAGAGCTAGAACTTTAAAGGTTTGAAAATTTCCAAATGAACAGTGCTTATGAGCAGCTAGGAAAGGTCCACAGAGACAGCAGAGCTCAGATGCATGGTCCTTAGGGCAGGTGTGTGTGTGTGTGTGTGTGTGTGTGTGTGTGTGTGTGTGTGTGTTTATGTGTGTCACATGCGTGCCTATGTGTGAGCATGAGAAAGCTGGAGTTCAATGTCACTGTTTTTTTCGTCTTTTTCCACCTTGCTTTTGGAGACAAGATCTCTTACTAAATTTGGAGTACAGTGATTTGCCGAGATTGACTTGGCAGTGAGTTGGAGGGATCCTCCTGTGTATACTTCCCCAGGACTAAGATTACAGGAACCCACTACTACCACATCCAGGTTTTTACCTGACTGCTAGCGCTCTGAACCCGAACTTGGGTTTTCAGGTGTGAGTGACTTCCTGATTCCTGATTCTTCTCCTCACTTGCTGTGAAGACATTTTTTTTTTTAATCTAGGTAAAAACAAGCTGATTACTGATGGGAAATAAAAGGTCAGTTTTCTCTAAGAGTGTTGCTTCTGGCAAATTGGTCTCATTCTTGTAGAAGGCCACACATCCAGGAATCTATGGGCGACAAAAATGGATGACAGGTGAAGGAAGGGAATACAAGGCTACAAGGTTGGGTGGGTAGGAAAAGGGTCATAGATAAGGGAAAGAGGTGGGGAGGAGTCAATATGATCAAAGCACATTGTACAAAATTCTCAAAAAAATATTTTCCCAGAAAACACTTCATTTGGGAGCTATCAAAAAATGAGAAAGTGACAGTCTTAGTTATATCTAGAAATAACCTTTTAGCTCAAGATTCTTCCATATTTTATCAAGAGTCTGTGTTTTATTTTGATAAAGAACTGTGCCATTTGAGTCCTTCAGTGGATTCAATGTTGTGGAATCAAAGCTGAAATCAACTTCTTCCTATTCCTAAGGCTTTCACTGTTGTAAACCAGTTCTCTGCCTCTGTCAGGGAAGTGTGCCCCACGTCCCATCACAGTGGTTGTCGTCTGCAAAACACAAGTACTACTAGATTTTTCTTACCTCCAAAGTGTGTTGGGGATGGTCTCTTTGAATTAAGTAAAAATATTTTATGCCTATACTTGGAATGAAAAATACTTTATAAAAATTGGAATTTTTCAAGTAGAAATTAACAGACAACCTCTGACATAATAGTCTCCTTAAAAATACATATTCTTAGAATTCCAATTACAGTGGCAGGTATGGAAGTGCATACTTGTGATCCCAACATTCAAGAGGCCGAGGCAGGAGAATTGCTATAACTTTAAAACCAGACCAGTCTATATAGTGAGTTTCAGGCAAGTCAGAGTCATGGGACAACATTCTTTCAAAATCAAAAGCAAAGCCAGAGGAGAAAAATACTATTTCCAACTATGATACTTTAGTGCTCACCCTGGAGTCTTTCTAGAGATGGATAATTTGCATTTTCCTAATACTGCATTGATGAAGGTCTAATAGAAGAATTCTACTGTGTGACTGTGAGCCTAGGTACCTTGTTTCCTACTAAAAAACACCAACAGCTCAATGATAAGTTGTCAGAGTAAGGAAAAAAATTATTCAAAAATTTAACCAAACCAAGAAAACAGAGGCTCTGTCATAGTCACTTGTCACATTACTTTGTCCATGACAAAACATAGCAGCAGACAGGCAGGCACGACACTGAAGCAGTAGCTGAGAGCTCACAACCGTGAGGCAGGGAGAGAGATAACTGGGAATGGTACATGCCTTTTGGAAGCTCAAAGCCTGCCCCCAATGACACACCTCTTCTACAAAAGCCACACCTCCCCATCCTTCCCAGACAGTTCCATTAACTGGGGACCTGGCACTCAAATACACGAGTCTATGGAGTGCCATTCTTATTCAAACTACCACAGGCCGTCTTAAAACAACATCATCTTATTTATTTATTTTTTTGTAGGTGCAAGCACCCAACTAATCTAGGGAGTTGTACAGAAGGTGGGCCGCAGAGGGTTTACAAACTCAGGATAATCTGCTCTTCTGGTACGCCAACGGCCTATACACTGCATCACAGGGTAGTCCGTGTTCTGTAAACTTAAAGACAAGTTACTGAGGAGGACTTTTGGAATTACTGTCGGTTTTGTGCCTTTTCTAGAGAATAACTGCTTCTCCAGTTATCAGTACGCAAAGAGCCTCCTTTCACTGGAGAAAAGGGTAGACAGCACATGGCCACCTTTCCCCAGAATTCCAAGGGAGATAAAGACAAGCAACTTCAGAGGACGGGAGAGGAAGCATTGCACAGTGAAGTCTTTAATCCTTGAGTGACAGCAGTCAGATAAGTCCTGTTACGGTAGCAGAGCTAGGGAGGATCAGCTGAAAGAAAGAGGAACATGAAGGTTCACTTAGGCCTTCCATTCGTGACACCATTTCAACGTATCGCTACGGGCGAATTAAATTCCTTCTTCTTTATGTTTTGTTTGGGTTTCAGCTGAACTTATAAACGACATGAAATAGAAAACTGAGTTGCTTCTGTAGCCTAAGCACTTAAGCAACTGCGTCTTCACTGCGTCTGGCGGATGGCTTCAAGGATGATTCTCAACTCATTCTTTCTAAGGCTCCTGCTTCGCAGAGGTCGTTGTCACCAGCTACTCGCATGGGACTTATAAGGAGTTGGCAGAATGACACATTCTTATTTTCCTCAAAGGGAAACAGGATGCAGAGACTAATTCTGAGACACATGGCCCTGTAATTTATTACTCTCTTGTTTAGTGAGCCACTCTAACTAAAAAAAAAAAAAAAAAAAAATCACAGTTTAATGCAACTTTCCACCATCATATTTCCCACCTTCCTGAACTACAGTGTATAAGCAAAAATTGTACGTATTTATTATATACAACATGCTATTTCATATAGGCATAAGAATTTGTTTCCTTTTTCAGATTTCTAACTGTTGGATAGTGGCACAATTTAACCTTAAAGTTGAACTTTCACAATATTCAGCTTATATTATATAATGGTGCACTATAGTCTTATTTTTCATTTTTACTTGTCTTTTGAGAAAGGGTCCATCTAGGGATTTTCCTGTCTTTGCCTCCAGAGTGTTGGGATTACAGGCATGCACTACTGTGTCCAACTTATAATTTTTTTTTTAAGACACAGCATTTAATTAGTTAGGAACATGTCTGAGAAGTACTTTAAACACAATTTATTTTGGAATTTTTCAAAGTCTTTTCATCCTAAACTCTTTGAGAAAAACAGGCTTATCTGAAATCTTAAGTAAACAAAAGAAACAAAAGTAGACATGTTTTGGTTGAGACAGAGTGTTATGCCTAGGGGGCCTATCTACTTATTGCCTCTTCTCATCCTAAAGTGAAATCCAAGAGGATTTACCCGGGACTCTTTGAAAACCACAATTCTGCATTAGTGGAAACTATTTGTAGAATTTATTCATCCACTATTTTTGTCTGACACAATGAGTAAGAAATTATCCAACTAATTAAATACCTTTTATATCAAATGTATATGAGAGAGCCAGTGTCCTGTGTGATCACCTATCTAGAATCCATCCATGGTCAGTGGCCTCTGGTAGCTCCTGATTATTGCAATGAATCTGGAGAACATCAAGTCATCACTCTTCTTCTATTTGGCTTTGAACAATGTGTTCATCATCAGGGAAAATAACTTTCCAAATGTATAAGTCTAGTTAGATTATATAAACAAGTTCCATTTCCATGTCAGCAATCATATCTTCAGATATTAGCTCATAATTTCTCATCTACGCTCACATTTTCATCTGAAAGAATAACAGTTGGGCAACAGAGGGATATGTATTTTTCTAATTCTAAGACTAAGAAAGTTTTTTAAAAAGCATATTTCTGGTTTTTAAATGAGTGGGCTTACTTTTCTATTTTTTTAAAAATGTTTGAGACCTTCTTCTTGCTGAAATTAAAATGATATAAGGATATACAAGGGGAAGAAATGAATTCATTATCTGAGACTGACTACTGAAAATATACTAGCATTATCTTCATACCTGGCAGTGACTTTATCAGTTCATTTCAACTCAGTGTGGCATGAATTTTGAAAGATTTTAGAGATGTGGTGAAGGATTTGAGCAGCGATCCATGCTCTTGCTTCTGTGTGTTGCAATCACCTGCACTATTTTTACTTATTTATTCATTTATCTCTTTTCATTATTTTACAGTTTTATTAGTTACCATTATTCATTTACCTTTTAACACCTATTAATACAGTGTCAAAAAGTGTGCCAAGAGCTGGTCATACCACTGTGGCTGAGACATGATCTTCTTCAAAACATAATTCCAAAGTAAAAGAAATTAATTGAAAATTATTAATATAGTGGGACAAATGGTTTAAGAAAATATACAACTCTTTAAGAGTCTATCAGAGTTAGCTCACCTGGTCTTGTTGCATGAAGAAATAATCCCTGAAATGATAGAGAAGAGAGGCCATGAATCATAAGAAGACTAGGAACGTGAAGGCATCATTTCCTACAAATGAAAAATGTCTTCTTGGCTATAATATAGACTTGGGACCTGAGTGTGTGGGAAAGAGATGTGATTAATAGTCATCGGTGGCCAGAATCACTGGCAAGATGTTTACTCTATTTGGAGGGCAACCACGGGCTCACACATTTCTGGAAGGCCATTCGATGTCCAGTGAAGAAAACAGATTGTAGAAGGGCAAGACTGGAACAAGGAAACGATGCGGGAGACGCTCTAGACCTTCAGATGACGAAAATGGCTGTTCAAATGAGAGTAATGGCAGCATGCTAGAGATTTCCAAAGCAGCCATGTTTGGAGGACAATCAACATAAGTAAATGAGTTCTCTTTTCTTATAATTATTTGTTGGAGCAAGACTCAACCTACTACATTTTCTTTGTCTGCACAGCAACCCCACGTACCAAAGCAGCCTCTGATGCCATGGGGTGCGTGTTTATTCTTGTCCATGGTGGATGTGATGTTTATATGGAAACATGGAAACCTCCATCCTAAAGAATGAATGACTAGTTGTGATGCATTAATCCTTGCACACTTTAGTATGTAGTCACTCTAGAAAGGTAGACATCAAACGTGTCTCCACCAAACAGACCACTGTTTATCTGGCTAAAGGGAGTTGTCCTTCTGATGAGGACTCCATGGTAACAACACAACACTGTTGGATTACCTACAACTGCAAAAACAATAACCTTGGTGGGGGCTCCTAGAATAACTAGATAACTGGCGAATGTGAGTCCATGGGGCTGATGCTGTCAACCTTTTATAGTTTAGTAAACAATATATATTCACATATACAATGATTGGACTAAGCAATGTGTCAGTACAAAAGGAAAAAAACAAAAAAATGAATAGTGATCAGGTTTAAAAAGTGACAAATCAGATGTCTGCGTTGCAGTATTCTATAGGATCCTCTGCGTCAACAACCAGGCAGACGTTTCTTGTAAATGGTTTCTTCTTTTTCAGATTGTGGCAAACGAGCTATCCCATTAATTGCCAACAGAATAGTATCTGGAAACCCTGCAGCTAGGGGTGCCTGGCCTTGGCAAGTTTCTCTTCAGCGCAGCAACATCCATCAGTGTGGGGGCACCTTGATTGGTAACATGTGGGTTGTCACTGCAGCACACTGTTTTAGAACGTAAGTCCCCATTTTGCTGAAAACCGTGAGTATTTCCATATGCTGAGTACTAGTTGAGGTCTCAAATATGAAGTAAAAAAAAAAAGAAAAATCTTTCTGATCCTTTTCTACAATAATGTCCTACTTACATAAGTTTGCATACTTAAAGTTGGGTTGGAATAAAGAAGTGCTGAACAATATTCCAGTATTCATGAATTAAGTCTTTAAAGTTTTTTTTTTTTTTTTTTTTTTTTTTTTTTTTTTTTTTTGGTTTTTCGAGACAGGGTTTCTCTGTGTAGCTTTGCGCCTTTCCTGGAACTCACTTGGTAGCCCAGGCTGGCCTCCAACTCACAGAGATCCACCTGGCTCTGCCTCCCGAGAGCTGGGATTAAAGGCGTGCGCCACCACCGCCCGGCTAGTCTTTAAAGTTTTAACTGAAGAAATTACAAGAAGGCAGAAGTTACTGTAACACAACACATGTACTAATAAATCCAGCTCTTTGTTAAATAATACTCCTCATTTAACATTAGCGCCTGTTTCCATCAAGCCCTTGGTCAGTCTCGTGGTGGTGCTGATAAACTGAAGCTGAAATCTTCAAGGAGGCAGGAAGTGGGTAACTGTTGCTCTCAGGTCAAATTTATAGTGCTGTCATCGAATCAGTCACCAAAGTTTGACTATGATTCACCTTAAATCTTTAAAAATCAGGATATATAACATGTGAGACCTGAGCTGGTCAGATCTTACCTGGGAGAGTAAATTCTGAACTAGGTGACACAGTTAAACTGAACTTGACAAAATGGAATATTCTTAGAGAGTCTCAGATGGCATGGGGCAGGCAGTAAACTGTTTGCCTTGCCACTCAATGGGCAGGCCACCGAGCAGCAGCACCCACATCCCTGGGGAATTTGTCAGAAATGAAAATGGTTCAGCTCTATCCCAGAGCTTCAGACTCAGGTGCTGAGTCTGAATGAAAGCCCCTAATCATTTGTGTGCACATTCGTATTTGAGAAACATTGGCCTACATGATGAAATCTTATTCCAAGAAATCTCTAATGCAGATAATAGGGCTGTATTAACTGATCTGAAGTCCTGTCATGTCTTTGGGAAAGACGTAGGGAGTCAAGAAAGAACTTGTCAGCAGGCAAAGCTGCTGAAAGAAGAAGGGGATGCCAAGATGAACAAAGGGATTCTAAAGTGGTGGAGCATGCCTCCTTCTGCAGGAGGGCTCACACTGAGGCAATGAAGAGTTGACAGAGCTTTTGTGTCAACAACTAGCATAATTATTAAGCTCTGTGGTGCTACAGGCACTTGATTAGATGCTTGAGATTTCTTTCTATAATTCTCACAACCCTCTCTCCATATAAACCCTGATGGGGAAGCCCTTTCCCTGAGAGGTAAATACAGAAGTACTCAAAAGTACAGATTTATAAAAAGAACAAACAAACAAATGAAAACCAAACCAAACAAACAAAAATCCCAAATAGCATGTTTCATATTATTTCAATCTAATATTGAGTTAACACAGAATGTGGAAGACTAGTGTCTGAAAGGGATGTTCTAGCGTCAAAAGACATACATATGTAAATAAGGCTGCATAACTCCCAGTTTTAAAACTTCAAAAGAATCCCAGTATCCCTTAAATAAAGCATAAGCACTTTCTCTCTCCCAGTAAGACACTAGTACCCACCTAACTCTTCAGCATCATCTTCCACTATTCTTCCTCTGGTGTCTTAAACTGAATCCCACCTGGCCCAAGGCCCTCAGATGCTTCCCTGGAAATCTCTCTTCCTTATTGTCTCATAGCTGACAAGGCTCCATCAACCTAAATGTATTATACTAAAATAACAATAACAAAAAGGAGCCTTCTGTAACCCCACACCACTAGTACATTATGCATTATCCTATTTTATTTTATTAATAATCTTTAGAATTTGTGTTATTTATCAACATTTTAATTTATTTTTATACTTTTCTGTCCTCAAACATAAAACTTGTGTGAACTGAAAATTTATGTCTTGTGTGCTTCTTTATTCCTAGCACTTCAATAACATTAGGCATACACATGATTAATAAGTATTTGCTGAGGGAATAAGTGAATAATATTGTATATGCCTTACACTTCTGAAACTCAATAATTAATTACACCTCCAATATGCTATTTGTACGTATTTTATACTTAAATCATGGGCAAGAGGCTTTTAAATGAAACTATAATTGCAACCAAGTATTATCAAGAGTAATATTTTCTCTTGAATTAACCTATTTAGTTAATTCAACTAGCATATAGTTAACTAATCTAAATAATGTAGTTAGTGGAAACTGTACAGCTCATGTATGCTGCTAATCTTTTCCAGTAATGCAAACCCACGTCAATGGACTCTTAGCTTTGGAACAACAATAAACCCTCCCTTAATGAAAAGAGATGTCCGAAGAATTATTATGCACAAGAGGTATCGGCCCCCAGCAAGAGACCATGATATTGCTCTTGTGCAATTTTCTCCAAAAGTCACCTATTCAGATGAAGTACGCCGAATTTGTTTGCCAGAAGCCTCTGCATCATTTCCCCCAAATTCAACTTTCTTCATCACAGGATTTGGAGCACTTTACTATACTGGTGAGTACTATTGGTGAGTACCTCCGAACAGCCAACAGACAGCTTAGCCCTTTCGCAGAGTAATTTCATCACCTGTATTATGTTGCCAGCCCTTTCCCCAAACTCGTTTTAGTTAGTTAGGGCTCTTGTTCTATAAGTGACAGAAATCCAACACAAAACAAAAACAAAACAAATTTGGCCCTTGAAGTTCAGGTGTCCTGTGTGAGAAATCTTGTAATAAGTGTTTTTCGTTGGGACCATGGGCTCCCCGATAATGACATGGAGGCTTACTAATTATAAAGCGTGGCCAATAGCTTAGGCTTGTTTCTAACTGGCTCTTGTAACTTAACCTATATTTTTTAATATAGTTTCTAGCTAGTTCTTGTAACTTAACTTGTAAATTAACCTATATTTTTTAATCTACATTCTTCCATGTGCTCATTACTTCATCTCCATTTTGGGTATCCTCCTTCCTCTACATATGGATAGTAACTCCACCTTTCTTTTTCTCCCAAGACCTGGCTGTCCCCAGAAGTCCCACCTAAACTCTTTTTCTGCCTAGCTATTGGTCATTAAGCTTTTCATTAAACCAATTAGAAGGAGTTTTGGCAAAGATGCATCTTCACAGTGTACAAAAAGATTATTCCACATTTCCCCTTTTTGTCTGAACAAAAAGAAAGGCTTTAACTCTAACACAGTAAAACTATATACAGTAAGAACAATTAACAAGTAAGAAATACATTTACAATGTTTAGTCCATTTTCATTTGGCAAATTTAGAGAAACTATTCCATTATCTATCCTATCTTAGTGAGTTCAAAGTTTTATACTTAGACCAGTTTCTATCATAACATGTATTACCATCCTAAAAGTATCTTTTTAGACCTTAAAACATCTTTTTAGATAAACAAGCAAAAGCTTTTTCGTTTCTCAACCTTATGAACTTTACATCTCTTATGAAAACTTCTTTACTGAATTTGGTAACAAGGAAAACTATAAAACTATAACTATCTAGTCTTCAATTCCCATCAGTGACCCAAAAAAGGATGAAATATTACTTGAGTAAAGAGGAAATGCAGAGAAAACAACTTCCAAAGCTATAGAAATGATAGAGGCATCTGTCTGCCTGGACAGTCACTCCAAGGTTCATTGTCAGTGTTGGGACATTCATCTTTGTCCTACAGGCCTAGAATACCTGACAGACTTTTCTATGAAGTAAGAATTTTGAAGGACTGTCTGTCATACTTTCCCTTGGAAAAGTTTGACAGTTGCCTTCTTTTGTGTCCTGCTTGTCCAATTTGGACAGCATATTGTTAGCACTGAAGCAAGATCAGTCTCTTGCCCAAATGGCTAGCTTCTGCCACATTGAAAGCAAACTCCATATGGAGGTTCTTCAATGCCTATCATCCTTTGTTGAAGTAAACTGGTGTTGCCAGAGGCTGATGTGTCTCACTGTCATGAAAAGCCTTGTTATTTAAACATTTTAAATGTCATATTCTGTAGGTCTTTGAAGTGTTTGGAGATAACCTATCTATTTAGAAATATATCTTCAAATGACCTTGAAAACATACCTAACACAACAATAAGTTTGATTGCTATAGGTGACTATTAACCTGTATTTCTTTATTATCCTAAATAGTTTCTAAGGACTAAAACTTTACATTACTTTTTAAAATGAGCTACATAGGTACACCTTATATAAGAAACAGAAACATACAATACAACAAAAATATCCTGAAATTTGTATCAATATACAAAAATCCATATCAATGTAAAATATTTGAGACTAGTGCTTTTCAAAAGTAGACTCAACAATTCAATCTTTTACCCCATTATTTCTATACTATATCCCTCCCTTTTCTCTTCAGAAAGAGATCCCTGAATCTAATCTCCTTTGTTCAGTTTTTTTTTCTTGACAGGACCAATAACAATTTGTAACTAACCCCCATAAACAATAGCAAACATTCATAACCCACCGAATGACCAGAAATCACCTACCACATCTCTTGGGAATGTGGGTGTTGTGTTCTCTAGACTGTTTCCTGTTGTCTGGGGGTTCTGGCATCTTTGGGGAACCTTGAGAAAATTAGGATAATGGTCAAGTCCTGGCTAGAATAGTTTGTGAGGCTGGACCATCTCAGTCAGCAGATTTGAAGCTGTTCTGGATGCAGATCTCTGAGGAAATTGCAACAGAGGCACTCTGAGAGGCTGGATCACCTGGGTCACCTATTTTCATTGTTATCTGATCCCTTTGCTCTGAAAACACATAAACATTCAAAGGTCATGTACATATCTGCATTAACACAATTGTGGATTGTGAATTGTACATAAGCCAGCCAAAGATGATTTTTTTGTTTTATGTTTGGGCAAGTAGAACATATGTCCCTTGTTTTATAGTTTTTCTAGGTTTATTCCTTTATGTCTGTAGCCAAGATACTCAGGAGTTCTCTCCTGGTCAAATCTGATCCCTATTAACCTGGAAGGAATCCACAGCTTTTCATTTCCTATGGAAACAAAAGCACAACCTCTCCTCCACGGCAACACATTTTCCATTCTGAACTTCCATTCTGAAGCCAAGACATCTCTAAAGTATATAGGCTGGTTTAATTCTGTAGTCCCTTTCACAATCCAATGTCTCTCAGCAGCCATTGTTCTCTCTTTTTCAGCATTCAAAAAATTTTAAATTAACAAAGTAGCATACAAATTCCAAAGTCCTTGTGTTATAATATTTCCCATCCTTATGTGACTTATTGTTTTTTTAATTACTTTACTTCTCTCTTTAAAGACTTTATTATTTTTAAGCTTGTTTTTATGACTGTGTATATCCTTTTTTTCCCCTTAAACCTACGTACATTGTTAAACACACTGTTACCTGTTTAGAGGGTTTTTTTTCCATCTGAACCTGCATTACTGCCTATCTGTAACTTTTTGTTTTTTTGTCTGTATGAGCAAAACCTTAAACCACCACATAGCTTCGCTCATGGCACACTGGCAGCTCAAGCCCATAGGCAGTGTGTCTCTGTTCCATGGCCCACATGAGAGACTGCAGGACTAGGAAGACATGTTTGGCTCTGTTTTTATGTGTTTGGAATTTTTTTTTAAGCGTTCTCAGGTCTTATGTGGGAATACATGCCCCACACTGGGCATCATTTGTAGTAAGTGTTTTTCTTTGGGACTGCTGGCTCCCCAGTAATGATATGGAGACTTATTATTAACTATGAAAGCTTGGCCAATAGCTTAGACTTGTTTCTAACTAGGTCTTATAACTTAAATTAACTCATATTTTCTAATCTACATTATTCCACATGCTCATTACCTCATCTTCATTTTGTCCATCCTCCTTTTCTCCACACTGAGCTGACGACTCCACTTTTTCTCCTGAGACCTCTCTGTCCTCAGAAGTCTTGCCTAACCTCTTTTCCTGCCTAGCTATTGACCATTCAACTCTTCATTAAGCCAATCAGAAGGTGCTTTGGCAAAGACACATCTTCACAGTGTACAAAAAGATTATTCCACAACAATATCTCTCTTAGATGTAGATAGTGTACAGAGTTTAAATGATGTTGCTGAATCCTGGACCTCTAAATCTTTGTGCCTCTAAGTCCTGTTTTCCCCAGGTTAGCGCCTGGGCAGTTAATTTTACTTTAGTATTAAAGAAACCAGTTTAATGATGGTTAAGAACAAAACCAGTATGGAGATAAATTTTCAAAACATGCTTACCCTCTCTAAGTTGATTCAACTTTATTATTAACTTTTAATGACTGCTGCTGAATGTTTTCAGTCTTTCTCAGGCATATATAACAATCTCTAGAAGGTTTGACTATTGACTTGAGGAAATGCAAAATGGGCTTTTGAAAATGGCAACATCTGCCGGGTGGTGGTGGTGGCGGCGGCGGCGGCGCACGCCTTTAATTCCAGCACTCAGGAGGCAGAGCCAGGCACAAAGCTACACAGAGAAACCCTGTCTCGAAAAAAAAAAAAAGAAAGAAAAAATAAAATGGCAACATCCATTCGAAGCAGCCTGTACTCTAGATACACAAAAAAATGTCCAGGAATAAACCTCTAATCTCATGTTCCACCAAGGAACTGGGAAAGCACACAAGCATCACTAGGAACAGGCTTTGTAAACCCTAGACTTACCTCAGATGTTCATTCTGCTCAGTTCCATCTTAGACATGCTGAACATGCATTACTTTCTCCATGGTCATATAACTGACTGCAGAAGATATTACCTATCGTTTCTTAGTTCCAGCAGGGTAGCAACCACAATATCACGCTATGGTTGCACTGTATCTGATGGGCTCTCTCTGCGATATAATTCTAGAAGGCACACCATGAATTCCCCTTGATGCAAGAAAAATCCAGTTCTGGCAACAGTTTGAGGTTGGAACAGATACATACCTGACAGAATATATTGTGAATAGCAATAAGATTAGACATTTATAAAACACTGTCTTTAACACAGTAGGCCACACATTAACCACAAGGGCCCGTGGCTTATTCTCCAAGGAAGTCCATATCCATTTATGCAAAACAAGCATTAGTGAATATGAAATAACTGAGACTGTACACTGTATGTTCTATGACCATATGAACTCAAACTGGAAAACAACAGGAAAATGTCTATGTGCTTAGAAATTCAGGAACATGCTCCTAGATAAAGGAATCTTGGGGCAAATCTCTTAAAAGTATCTGGAACTGAATTAAACCTGAATACTGTACAGAGTATATCTGTGCTTACGTCAGAAAAGAAGCTCTCTATAAACTTAGTGCCAAACTAAGATGAGAGAAACAAATCTTAAACAAGCAGAAGGAAGGAATAATAAAGACAAAAAAAGTAGATAAAATGGATAAATATGAATGAAGTTCTTTGATATAAAACAATAGTCTTTAAAAAGCCAGTAGGTGTTCCTAAAGTAGTTGGGATATAGTTAGGGATTTGGGGGTATAAATTTTGGAGCTAAGCTTTTCATAATTTTATTACATTTTACCAAGTAGTTTTTTATTAAAAACAATGAACTTATCTACCACCTAGAAATGATCAGTTTTCATATTCACTAGCCCTTGCCAGAACTAGTTAACATTTTTAAAATTGATAATACAGTATGTATACATGAATACATATGTATACATAGACACATACATATATTATTAATTTAATTTTTGTTGGGTCAGAAGTTCTGATGGTCATTGGGTCTTCTTCTCTGAGTCTTTTAGAACTGCAGTCTGGGTGTGGCCTCACTTGTGGCTCAGGATTCTCTTCCCAGCTGTCTGATTGTTGGTAGAATTCTGTTTCTTGCAGCTCTACAGCCTGCCTCCTCAGCATCCTCAAGAAAATGTGTCCAAGCACGAGGAAATTCTAAACCTTACCTGATTTGGCCAGGTCTGCCTTGGATAATCTCCCCTTTGATTATGCCAAAGTCAATCAGATTAAATATATTATTTTATATAAAAAATTTCCCAGCATTTTGCCATATAACTTAAACCTAATCATGGAAATGATTCCCATTACATTCACAGAGTCCAACCCACGCTTAGAGAAAGAGAAATAACAAGAATGTTGGGCGCTGTGCTGGAGTTCTGCCAACCAGAGTGCCATGATTTCCATCTACTCCATGATTGAGAAAAACAGTTCCAGAACGTTTGTGATACTCTTGATTTTCCTCTGTTTCCGCCTGTCATACGGGCCTAGCTTAGGATTTGGATGCTTAACTTTATCTAAAACAAATTTGTTTATAAGACATTAAATTGTCATGTAATGCAATTATATACATGAAAGCTCTTTGCAAATGCACAGGGCTGGATAAAGATATATATTAAGCGGTGCTTTATCAAGCCAAGAAACAATACTATATCATACCAAGAAACAATGCAAACTAAACATGTAACGTTTGTGGGAATAATCTGGAATCCATAAACACAAAGTTTGTCTTTTAAAAAAAATAAGATGCATTCTTTAAAAAAAAAGTTTGGAGGGCTCAAGAAGTTAACAGCACTGACAGCTTTTCCAAAGGACCCAGGTTCGGTTCCCAACACCCACATGATGGTTCACAATCATATATAACTCCAGTTCCAGGGGATCCAACTTTTCTGAACTCCACAGATATTGCAAGGAGTGTGTGGTGCACAAACATACATGAATGCAAAAATGTCTATACACATAAAATAAAAATAAAAATAAATGTAGTATGTTAAAAGTAAAAATTTAAGGATTTTCTGGAAAGGAAAGCAAACGGTCATCCTGCTTATAGAAGTATTTATTCAAATTGGTAATACAGCAACCATCATTAAATGCACCAGGTTTTGCTTTTTGTTTTTGTTTTGAGACAGGGTCTCACTGTGTAGCACTGTATGTCTGTGTAGACCACACTAGGCTCAAACTTGCAGAGACATGTGTGCCTCTGCCTCTCAAATATGGGGGTTAAAGGCATGTGCCAGATTTTAGTTAGACTGTTTTTCTCTAGGACTGTTCAAGCAAACCATAGTCCGTATAAACAATTTTAGGATGGAGAAGATTAGAAAAGAACTCACTCACTTCAGTCCATGTAAGAACACTTGTTGAAAATTCTGAGACCGCTTTGTTTTTTCTTAAGGGGAATCCCAAAATGAGCTCCGGGAAGCCCGAGTAGAGCTCATAAGCAATGACGTCTGCAAACAACCGCAGGTGTATGGCAACGACATAAAGCGTGGGATGTTCTGTGCCGGATATCTGGAAGGAAAGTACGATGCCTGCAGGGTAGGTTGCAGAGAGAAAAAACCTGAAGTCACTAACTCAAAGGCATTTCACCCAGCCCAGAAATGCTCTGTGTTCTTTATTCTAGCGCAGGACACAGACATACTGACATCTCCAAACGTGTAAACGTCATAGTACATACTTTTAAATGTTTTTTATTAAACAACTTGAAACAAGCGAAGGATTTCTTTGATGCTATCAAACACAAAATTTCAGTGTCTTAATAACCAGGAACTTGTAGGACACCAGGAAAGTCATGTCTTCGCGTATTTAAAGGCAGCAACCGTGTAGTAGAGTGAACTGTGATGCTCTAAGAATGTAATGAAAAAGAAGCAGCTTTCCCTTCAAGGAAACATTTTTGGGCCAAGCATCAGAGAGATGATGCTTCAAAGAGAACTAAAGAATAAGTAGCACTTACTCAATTACAGAATTAGAAGAGGGAATAGTTAAAACTGTGAAGGTGTATATATTTGTATTTATTACCAACTACTGTAATTCATAGTTGGTAACACCTACCAAAGCACAAATAGGGTGACAGGTGGGAGGTCTATTTAGTGGTGCAAAGTTTGATTAGGTTATACTGTCAATATCCTGCAGTTCTTCGTGGTGTCTCCCTCAGTCTTCCAGAACCCATACGGAATGTACATTTTCTGATGAAGGTCTGAGTATGTTTCTTTCCTTATACAATCTTTTTTTCTTTTTTTTTTTTTTTGACATGAGACTCTCAAAAATTTCAAGGATGTAAATCTACACAGTAAAACCATGAGACTATTAGTGGCATGGGATACCTCAAAGCCTTGCCCACAGGCCAACAAATTACAGAATGAGCAACGTCTGTGGAAAGAGCACAGAATTTTATAACCTATAGGCTGAGTCAGAGCAGGATCTAACACACAACCAACTTCTCAGTTGCCAAGAGTGTGGAAGGAGACAGCCAGAATTTAAGGATCCAAGCAAGAGATGGGTAGAAGTGAGTGGAAGCTCACATCAGAAGGTGTGGAGCACATAGGGGATGATAATACTGATATCAGTGGACAGATTTGTAGTCCAGAGGATTCACTGGGATGGGAAGGAAAGAAATATAAGAAAAACCTCTACTCATAGAAAAAGTCACTGAGACAATGGTTTAAGTGATGGTGACTTGGGTACACGATCAGGGCTTCAGAGAAACTGATAAAACTGAATTAAAAGTACCAACATCAATCTGGATTCCTTACATCATCACATGTTCATCTAGAATTCAATAAATCCCCCTAATGAAGATAGAGGAGAGAGAAAGGGAGAAGGGGAGAAGGAGTGAAGGAGGGGGAAGAAAGAGACAGAGAGATGGAGAGGGGAGAGAGGGATGGAAGGAGGGGGGAGAGAGAAACAAAGAAAAAACAAGAGAGAACAGCATCAGTGCTAGAGTCCAAGAGAGCAAGAGTGAGAATGAGAATTCCTCCACCAAACATCTAGGTGGGCAAGATTCAAGTACAAATAAAAACAATTGCTAGTGAGAAACTCAGAAGAAAAAAAGTTTTCATACCTTCGTGCAGATTTGTAATTTTGTTTCTGATTGTCACTCAGTCAAGAGTTTGATAAAACAGATTGGGGTTGCTAACCGCCATCGGGCACTGAGGAAGAGCTCTCTTAAGTTGATTTCAATCACTGCAGAACACACTGGGTGGAAGAAGCCATCTCCATTTCATAACCACTTGCAGAGGAAAAATTAGTTTTCTCCAGAAGAGTCTCAAAGGGCACACACCACACTTAAGAACAGGCCTCATGCCCAGCAATAGATGGCCAACACAAAATGAACTAAATTGTGATTTTTGGAGAGTTTTGTTTTCTGACTCATATTGCTTTGCTTAGACTTTTTTTTTAAAAAACCATACTGGTCTTTTGCTTGCATATTATGGTTTTTGCTTATACATTATGTATATTTTACGTTTCTATGGGTTTTGTTCATGTAGGTGTGTGGGACACCGTGTGTGTGTGTGTGTGTGTGTGTGTGTGTGTGTGTGTGTGTGTGTGTGTGTGTTTCTAGTGTTTTTTTCCTTTGTTTTTATGTTTGTTGATTTTGTTTTATTTTTGTTTATCTGTTTTATTTGGCCGTTTGTTTCCTGAAGACAGAAAGAAAGAAAGCTTGGAGTTAGAAGGGTAGGGGTGTGGGGAGGATCTGGGAGGAGATGACAGAGGAGAAGAAACCGTGATCAGTATGTATTTATTGTATGAAAAACAATTTGTTTTCAATTAAAACAAAAAGAAATCAGTGGGTGGGTTCAGGCATCACTTTTCTGGAGAACTTGACTCATTCAAAATTAGTATTTACAAAACAAGCGTCACTGTTAATTGACACAATGTAGAGCTCATTAAGCTCTGGTGAGATAAATAGTTAAATATCCACTACCATGACAGGAAAGCAGTATGTGCAGTCTAATTAAAAAAAAAACAGCAATTTGAGTACTTTTTAGATACAATAAGAAATGTTTAAGCCATGAAGTGCTACCCCGAGGAAACAGACTAGATGAGGAGATGTACACTTCAGTTTTTCTTCTTTTTAATGCTTTATCTTGTTTACTCAAAATCAAAATTTAGTAGAAAATATGTAGCTCTACCTTGTTTTTCAACTGTTTTATTTATTCATTCCGTTATGGTAATCTATACATACACTAATAATAAAATAAGTGGTTCATCAAACTTTTGTAAATAATGAACTGCTTAGCTAAGTGTTTTTTCTCTTGTTTGTTTTCAGGGTGATTCTGGGGGACCATTGGTTGTAAAAGACAATAAAGACACATGGTATCTCCTTGGAATTGTGAGCTGGGGAGATAATTGTGGTCAAAAGAACAAACCTGGAGTCTACACACAAGTGACTTATTACCGACACTGGATTGCTTCAAGAACGGGTCTCTAAGTTGCTACAGATGCTAAACAAAACAGCAGCATACAGGTCATATGTATATAAGAGTTCAGACATTCATTTGGTGGCATTGGTACAATGAAGCAAGATTAAGTAGCTGGACCTAGCAACATGGAACGTGTGACTTATTTCAGAATCACTTACTTGTGAAGTGATGGGTTATTTTATCATTGAGAAAATGCAGCAAAGATAGTCATAGCTTTAAACCAAGTAAATTGGATTGTACACAAGATGCATTGTGTAGTTTTGAAGATAGCCTGGGAGACTTTTAGAGTGTGTTTTTTCCTGGGTGCTCACTCAAGTGAAAACCTTTTTGAATTCTCAGAAGTCTCAAGGTGCTTGTACAATTACCTGTGATATCCAGAGCTCACAAACATCTTTTAGTCCTCTTTACTTTCCTTCTATATTTTCATAAGTTTTCCATTACAGGAAATAAGTTTGCTACTTCTAAGTGCGTATAAGAGAATTGTATGAAAGAAGATTATATGGAGCCATCAAAGTTTAGTGGCAAACTAAAGCAAAGGCAATCTAACCTCTGCAGGGAAACTTTTCTGATTTTTCTATGATTTTAAAACATACACACACACACACACACACACACACACACACACACACACACAACCATGTGAACAACAGTCACATCACCACCCCTATGGCATAGATATATGTAAGAGAAATAGTGATTCATGTTTTATATAAATTAATTGTTTAATCAATGTGTAACTTTTGTCATGAAAAATTGAGAGGGGCTGATAACGTTGTGAGCTTTCTGTCCCAGAACAGGTGTACAAGACTTTGACATTTCGAATGTGCGTTTACATATTTTGGTCACCAGGGGGAGATTTTGCCCAGTATTGTCTTAGGTCAAATGCCTGAACACAACTGAGAATTTAACATGGAGAAAAACAAAAAACATTTTGTTTCTTCAGGGAATGGAAATTTTTGTTGTCTTTATTTCTACCACCAAGTTCCTCCTAAGGCTCATGCTTGGAATATATATATATATATATATATATATATATATATATATATATATATATATATATATATATATATATATATATCTCCTCCCTAAAACAAACAAGCAAGCAAACAAACAAAAATCCATGCAGGCATCCAGAGAGTGAGGCCTCAGCACCCATAATAAAATTAAATAAGGCTTTGTTGGAATATTTCTTGGTTTGTGAGATGTCTGGGTTTGCAAGCCAAGATATATAAACAGCTTGACAAAAATATTTGCAATTTGCATCCTTAGCTGTCAAATCCACATGTTCCCTTTCCTTACAAAGTTTGTTTAGGGCTGCTGTATCCAATGAGACCCATTACATTTTTCACTAAGTGTTATTGTTTTGAACTAGGAAACTTACTGTAACCATTTTAAATAATTCTCTCAGGCAGCTGGCTGTCAATGATCTCAATTCAAAGTAAAGTCGCTCCTTCATATATAAAAAAAAAAATACCCATTTCCACATAAATTTTCTGTATTATAGTGGTGAGTTATGATTTTGCTTCTAATGCTAAGATTCAGAAAGTGGTTGTAGAGTTAGTTGTAAATGATGTGCTCAAAACTGTCTTCTGCAGCATTTCATTTGGGGCTGTATGGGAAAAAATACTGTTTTATCATTTTAAATCTAATAAAGTTGGTGATCAGAGCATTCCATAGACAATATCATGGAGTCTGTGTTCCTGTGGTAGTGTGAGTCTTTTCAACTGTTGTTAAGTTACATTCATTAAAATAAGGAAACTAAGGTCATTCTTAGCTACTCAGGAAGCTTTGTCTCAAACAACAACAAAATCTAACAAAAGAATTGTACTCTTGATGACCGATTGGGCGGGACAAGGAGACTCACATGCAGGCCGGCGGAGACCAACCCAGGCTCTGAGGAGGACGTATGGTCCTGCCTAGCACCAAGACTGGACTTAGCAGGACGAGGAGGGAAGGGCGGGGAGGGAGGAGAGGGAGGGAGAGGAGGGGGTTCATTTCCTGTGGATAACGGCATATCTGAAGAGCTGAAAGTGGTGAGGAGTGGCCTGAAGTGGGTGGCTTCGTTGTCACCCAGGGCCATGGTGATGTTTGTGCCTGGGCTGCCTTGTGCCGAGGCCCATGTCTAGGTTCATGGCCCTGATGCAGTCCTTGTCTTTGTTGATGGCTGAGGCTCCTGAACCACCAAAGGCCCAGAAGATAGGGCTATATAGAGTTGGCCCCACCCCCTCGCTAGGTGCAACCCTAGGGAGAACTGGTCCTGCCCCTCAAGGGCTGAAGCACTCAGGAGAGAGGGTCCTGCACCTCACCAGGGCAGCACAAAAGAGCTGACCCTGTTCACAGGGGCATGGGCAAGCTGGCCCTGAGGGTGTAAGAATGGGAGAGCTGGTCATGGCCCTCTGGCCTGCCATTTGGAGGTATGAGTGAGAGAAAGATGCCCTCCTCCCCTCATCCCTCAACCCCTGCAGCAGGCGGAGGACCTTACCCAACCCTTCCCCAGGGGACATAAGGTTGGGAAGGGAATTGAATAGGAGGAGTTAGAGGGAGATAGTGGTGGATGGGTATAATCAATATGCATCATAGAAACATACAAAACTTCCAAAGAATAAAAATATCATTAAAAGCTTTTTTCTAGTGATCTTGCCTAAACTATAGTGTGTCATACAGCACCAACTTGCACTTCAAGCAGAGAGAAGTTCACTGAGCTCACTGTGTGTGGGGTGATCATGAAGGTGGGGTTTCTCTAGCTTCCAAAATACACAGTAAGAAACAGTTTGTTTTCATGTCATAATCCCATACATACACAATAAAATAAATGAGTAATAGCTTAGATTGAAGTTTCATAAAGCAATACTTACCCGTACTAAGTGTAATTGGATAGTTTTTATTATTTTTATCAAGTATACCTACAACCAAATTGACTCCATACTCTACCAAGCCATCACCTGCAGAAGATGACCGGAATAATCATTGCTATTATTTATCTCCACTTATTATTGCATTGCGATTCTCCTCACCTTTATTCTCTCCTTATGGTCTTCATTTAGTGAATCGTTACCAAATTATAATGTGATTCCATAATTTGGACCCGTTCTATCCAAGTATCATTGGTCTCTCTTCTGCCTGAAAATCAACCTAAATCGATGTCACATGGCAATCAATAGAATTTTCTTTTGCTTGTGCTCTGTGCTCTATGTGCTCTGTGACTCCCCTTCAGTAATACAGCTTCCTCTTTGGACACACCATTCTTCCTTCATGAACATAACTTCCCCTTTTGTCTCACTGTTCTGCCTTTGTGAAGCAACTTCCTCTTTGATCATATTGCTTTCCTTACTGTATAAAACCAAGATTAAGTCTGTCTTGGTCAGGAATGTTTCTCTTACTATGCCAGGCAAAATTGTTCACCATACAGACCTCTTTTAGCATTTTTTTCCTCCTCCAAATCAGTTCTGATTCTTCACTCTGCATTGTAGTTTTTACAAATGTGTGTTAGCACTTAAGTATTTCACATTCCATAAGGTTTTGGAGCTGCTTTATTTATTTACCTTTTTATCTCACACAGTACATGTTTTAGATAAATGTTTGGTGATAGAATAATTTAAGAAAGGCTAATTAGTTGAGAAATCTGTCTCTGGTGTTACATAGCCCCAGTTCCCATTATTTCCTTTACTAAATTATCCAACCTATATGGTCCTATTTTGCATATTCTTAAATGTTCTTAAAAATCCTCTGCTCTCAATCTATGCCAAGAGCAACAAATGCAAGCATTCCTTCCTACATGACAACAAACAAACAAAAAGAACAGAAAGGTGTCCCTGGTGGAAGTCTAGGCCATGACTCATGATATGGTATCCACACAGTAAAACTCACAAACTTGAAAGGTATGTTTCATTATGGGTAAGCAAGTTTTTTATCTTTTAGTCACCCTTCCCAAGAGAACAGACTGGCCCTGCATTGCCTTCCGTTGGTTATTTTAGAGTTTTAATATTGTACTTTTGTGGACCAACTTCTGATTATACTATCTGACATTCTTTATTCATGTCTCCTTTAAATGCCTCTGAAAGAACAGATTTTAAAAGTTCTATTCAAAACAATACAAAAAATGCAGACTAGATTTCAATGTAAGGTGAAAAGCTTCTTTCTGTTCTAAGACTATAAACGATTCCTTAATCCCAAACAGCTATCAATTAAAACCTCTTGGAAAAAATAAAGATGTGTCCATTACTAAAGAATGACTCAAGTGCGTGCTCTTCCAACAGCAATTAGAGATTCTTAATTTTACATGAGAGGATGTTGTCATTTTATGGTTTCACATGACCTCAACTGCTGCCTCTACAGACAGACATTTCTCAGTTTGGTAAAACAGCAAAGCACTATCTCTGATGTTCATATGAAGCAAATTGATTATTTAATGCTGCTCAAATAATATTTTCAAATGTATATAAAAGATATACTACCCAAGCATGCATTTTCTGAATGGGCATGGTATCATGTAAAGGTAAACAATATGAAGGTAGATAGAATTAGAATGGCTTACAGCCTAGCTCTGCAATATGCTAGGTTACTGGCATAGGTCTGTTGTTTGAACTTTATGATATTAATTTTTTTCTTTCTTCCTTCCTTCTTTCCTTTCTTCCTTTTCCTTTTTCTTTCTTTCTTTCTTTTTTCTTTGTTTCCTTCTTTCTAAGAGCTGACTGTATAGTCCAGGTAAATCTCCAATTTGGCACTGGGATTGCAGGAATGGTATACCACAACCAATTTGTGATGGTTAACTTGAAATGTCAGCTTCTCTGGCCCAAGATGACCACATACTACGTTCAAACATTATCCTGTGTCTTCTATGGGGTCATTTTTAAATAATATTCTTATCTGTCTTTAACTGTTTGGATTGCTAAAACAGAGTACATGATACTAGGCCATTTATTAAGGATAACTTTTTATTTACTCACGACGCTGGAGGTGTAGAAATTCAACCATGGCACCTATATCTACTGAAGACCTACATGATCTT